GACTGAAGGCCACCCCAGCCAAAACGTTAAGTACATGGACAACTTAAATGCTTAGAAATGATATACTGCTGGGATGGGCAGTATGTATGAGCCTGTGGTCCTTCAAAATGCTGAATAGATCAGTAGTTGCGACTTTCTTAAAAACAAAATGTTTGTATTATAGAATTGCATGGCGTGACAAGGTAAGACATAAAATAATGATTAGCATATTGGTAGGAACGATATCTATCAATTAAAATTGTTTTCAAGGAAGTTTTTGCATTCAGATTTGTGCATGTTAGACAGAAGATGACCGATGGTGTTATTGACCATGACACCACCCATATATCTGTGAACAGAATTTTAAAGTTGGCCACCCAGGGTTAGTTTAATTGGTAATAGCAGTTGTATAGCAGTCACACGGTTTATATGTCAAGGACTTTAACTGTGAAAGGAAGAAACCGGAAGAAGCCATTTTTACACAGAAATGGAGCAAAATGAGTTTTGGGCAGTGACTGTTCTTAGTTTTTATTTTACAAACTGTCACTCACTTATAGCATAGATGATTTGAGCCCCAGCACATGAAACACTCAAACAGTCCCCTTTGGAATGCAGCTCAAGACAATAATTATGATTGGCATTGGTATTAGAAAACTAAACTAAAACTAAACCAAAAAATCAAAAACAAATAAACAAACAAGCAAAAAATCCTACATTAAATGTTGGTATCAAAGTTTGATATATGACCATGTGAAAATCCAACATTATGCCACGATGATTTGCACACCTTCCCTTTGCCCTGTTGGATTTTTTCTCTGTACATTGAATTTAAAATAAATGAAACACTGCACAGTCCAATATGAATGGAGGAATAGGGGACGGGTATACTCACTCTTTGCTGTTTTACGTACAGGACCTATACTAACTTTAAAACATGGTGCTGTTAAACACAACTCTCAGAGGTGCAATTACACAATTCAAATAAAATTGCAATACCACTGAATCTGTAGGCCCCACATGGAGATGCTGACTCCACTGAGATCAGTTTGCATTTAAGGAATACATAAAGAGTTTTATGTCAATACCATGTATTGTTGATTTAATCCCTGAGTCACTATGGCCTTCATCTGACTGCTGCGTTTTGGGAACAGCTTTGTGTTGCTGAATTAAAATGATTTCCTTAGTGTTAAAGCAGCATGAAATTGGTTCTGTTTGCAGGCAGTTCCTGTGACACATATTTCTTTTAAAGAGGAACACTAATCAGAAAACTCTATGTTCACCCTCTATGGAGATACAAGACAAATTGGAACTCACTGTTTTGGCTCAGTCATAAAAAAAATAAATAAGCAGTGACCTCATGAGATGGCCTTTAATTTTGCAAGTCCTTAAGGAACCGACTATAGCACCAATGTGTGCTTATAATATATATTTTTTCCCAATACGAGAATTTAATTGCTTCATACTGGATAAATAAAACGAAGCACAAATTAGATATGTTTCCTTTTACACACAATCCTTTATCCTTATAGAGGTTGCATTGCTTACTGCGTATTCTTTGCTGGACATAAATAGAGTATTTAAAAAAGAGATTTTCTTACTAATTTAAAATAAATAGGTTACCACATATGGCCTTTTTTAAAAAAGAAAATGCATAAGTGTTAACTGGATGTAACTGAGGCATCGCAGAAACTTCACTATTGCATTATCAACAATTCCATGGGAATCGTTCAGTACTTCTTTTACTGCATGACAATGTAAGAAAATGTAAGAAAACCAAGAAATCTTGGTTAGTGTAGGACAAATGTTATGTTTTTATTCTTTTGTCTTTTTATTCTGCAACAATTAAAATGTAAAACAAGTTCAAAAACTGTTCTGTGGTGCACTCAAAAGTTATCAGATTTCATGAACAAGGTTTCAAATGTCATGCAGTTTTTCGGGGTACTTCAACATGGATGTAAAGTAGTACTTATCTAATGCAACCAAACTTAAACTGTTGTACTTGGCATAATAAAAGATATGGATTATCCTCTCTACACAGTGGCATTGCTACTGGCATAAGACAAGTGCTAATTTAGCAAAAGCAGGGACAAGAAAATGTAAAAATCCCACCACCCACTCCTGGTAAATTGCACCGTTTATGAATTACTAGCCATGAGAGTAAATCACCTTAGTCTTATTGCATGATTAAAGGTAATTTTACCCTCTGCTTTTGTTACTTTTGCTGCTAAACTGTTATGATTTTAATGAAATTCAGAGGGGTGCATGACCATTATCTGGAAAGAACTTTCAGAACTTGAGTTTAACTGTCGTTGAGTTCACCATGTGACAAACAGGGGGAAATGGGGTGACCTGTTTATTGTTTGTGACATAGCTAGTTTTTTGTTTTTTTTTGCATGGGAAATGTTCCATATGTACCAAAAAAAGAGAAAACTATCCAAAGTTCATGCTCTGTTTACATAGTTTTTAATTCTAGAATGTTTTTCCAAGTAACTTCTTCCAACACAGTGCAGTTTTGAAGAAATATAAATATGCACAATACGTTCTGGTGGGATTTCTTCATTGCCACAAACAAATCTATTTTTGCTTTTGAAATATGACTAATTTTGCTGGGGTAGATTATTTTCATCACACTGCAGCTCTATGCTGAGACAAACATGTAGCTGTTTCTTGATTGATGGAATATGGCGTGCGCACGGTCATATTACTGTTGTGACAGCTGGCTCCGTCTGAGTAATTGCTTGCTCATGTATCTTCTTTTATGAATAATTGGAGGATTTCTTTGTCAACAGGGTTCACTTTGTGCCCATTTTGACTATTACAGTTTGTTTGAGGAGGCTGGATGTGTAGTGCCATGTATCTTTCCAGAAAAAAAACAAGGAAACACAAGTAGTTGTGTGGGTTTGTGCACATGTGCAGACTGCATGTGTGGGTGGATGTACTGTCAATACAGAATATATTAAACCAACAGATTGTTGTGAGCAGTAACAACATCATTTAATGAAGCTATCTGCTTGCTGGCTGTTCTTTGGTGGTACGCTAATGGTATAATTCCAAAAATAATGTGAAAATGAACCTGGGAAGACATCTGGTTTCTGTGTGTAAATTGTTTTACTTAATTCATGTCATACATATAAAAATACAGTATGGCCCTTCAATGTAACACAAGACTTAATTATGCTGTTTGCCTTAATGTATTGGGATAGCTTTCACTAAAGTTGGATTCTGGAAACTTCATGTTAATGAGGATAATTTATAGTATATTCACACAAATCTCAAACATCCTATGCAAATATGAACATAATGGCTGAGGGAAATGGAAATATGAAAATACTTCAATTTTTATTCTCACTGAAAAAATGTGTGCATGCTCAGAGGTGTTTTGTCTTAACGTGGGAGTAGTAAGGCCACTGAAGGCAGGTGCTAACAGCAGCAGCTATAATGAAACTTCACCTGTTTTGATTTCCTATTTAAGCACCAATAGAGGCAGTAGCAGTTGAGGCTCCCTGTGCCTGATCGCCTCATTAAAGAGCCATAAAGCAGTTTGACACTCACAGGATGCCAATCCATCATAGCTAGGCCACTTCTGATAGGGGGGAAACCTCTGGGGGAGGAAAGCTGCAATGGCTGGAAGGAAAGGAAAAAAAAAACAGTCTATGTCAAACTGAGCTGTCGTCTGGTGAGCTGAGATGCCAACACCCCTGAGGCGGCAGAGCTGGATCCAGATCCAGTAGTCGACTAACACGTCCCACAAACTCATGAGCGAGGCAATTAGCAGGAGCCCCTGTGGATAGCACATTCCTCTCCCAATGATTGTTTCCCTCCCCAACCCCCTCTTTCGTTTTCGTTTTGTCTTTCCGTCTCTTAAAATTCCTCTGCTTTCTTGCCAGTCCAGTGCTTACAATTCAGCTGTCATTTCAGTGCAGCGGTGGTTGTCTCCCCAAGCACAGTTGTGTGGCCTGTTGTTGTCTAACAGCAATGTTCCCAATTACTCTAATTACCTCTGCAGGAAAATAAAAAAAATAAAATTTCATTTGGGTAGCCAATTAACAAAATGGAAAGTTAAGGAGGAAATTCAGTTTGTAATTAAGTTGTCAACCATCTCATCGTTTTGTGCAGCATTTTTTTTTATTCTGTAACTCTTGCTAGTTAAAAGTTAATGTAAAAAGAAAGCATATATCTGTTTTGCATACACTCATGATGGGACTTTTAATGATTTCTTTGATTTGTTTTTTTTTCCCATGGTGAAATGATTGTACAAAATAAATCTTTTAATAACTTAAAAAAGACAGTTTCGTACACAAATTTGAATGTATTTTGGATTTAATCTAATCAATGCAGGGAACAAAATTATACATACTGACTCAAATACACAGATATACCCCCACCAACGTTTGGATATGTCAGGCGTTGTGTGGAGGCGAGGAAGAAGGAACCCAAACGCAGGACTGGCAGGTAGGTGAAGGTTTATTATAGGGAGTGGGTGAACAGAGGGTGAACGGACACTGACTGGCTAGACAACTGAATGGCTGACTGAACTGAGGGAACACACGGGAAGGACAACGTAACATCAATGACACGACAGTGAACGAGTAGAAACAGAGTGCTTAAATACAAAGACTGATAAGGATGATAATGAGAGACCGGTGAGTACACAGCTGAACATAATCTGGCTAATGACACAAGACGAGCTGACACAGGAAAAGCAGGAAGTGAGCACATGGAAGTGGCAAAATAAACTGAACAAGAACAAAACTGAAAACACTGGGTCACCGACCCAGGAACCCTGACAGGATAAAGGTCCCGTAGCAAGTTGTACCTCATTCAGATGCTTTTGATCACCATTAACAAACAAACGCTGATTTTTTTATTTATTAATTTCCTGTAATCTAAGACCTTTAAATTCATGAGCACCTCTGAAGGAGGGGGCAACAGTGTGCTATGCTGGCATTTGGCCTGACAGAAATGATTAGAAGAAGAAGAAGAAGTGACACCATGCTACTATCTAGCTAACACACGCAAGCATGGACGAGGGCGGACTTTTGGGTGGAAAGTTTCTCTTTAAGAAGTTGCCTGATGGCTTGTTGGGCAAAACGAGAGTAAGATGCACAATTTGCAAAGCTGAATTCAAGTACCACAGAAGCAGTTCATCACTGGCGTATCACCTGAGAGCAAAACACCCAACTGAATCCACCTCTACGGGACCTCGCCAGTCTACGCTTCAGGAGTATGGTGCTTGTGGAAGAATAACAAAAAATGTGAGAGAAAAATTAACCAATTCCTTGGTTGTTTGGATAGCTAAAAACTGCCGACCAGTTAGCATAGTAGAAGATGATGGACTGAGAGAAGTCATTCGCGCTGCATCAGGAGATGAGTGTTACAATCTGCCCTCGAGAGGAACCATTGTGTCGAGACTGCACACTTTGTATGGGGACCAGAGGACTCAGCAGTCCAGCAAGCTTGTGCAAGTAAGGGATGTCGCTCTCACCGGAGACCACTGGACTTCGGTGAACAACGATAATTACTTGGGAGTCATGGCGCATTTTATTGATAACGACTGGACTATGCAATCGTTTGCACTAACAGTGAGTAAAACTGAAGAGAGACACTATGCTGATGCGTGTGCTGACCATTTTCTGAATGTTGCAAACGAATGGAAAATCAAGGACAAGGTAACCACGCTTGGCACCGACAGTGCTCGTAACATGGTTGCAGCCGCCAGACTACTTCCATTTGAACACATGCCCTGCATGGCCCACATTCTGCAAAGAACGGTCACAGTTTCTCTTAATGACAGCACATTTGAAAGGGCTCTGGCCAAATGTCGCAAGATTGTTGGACATTTTAAACATAGTCCAGCAAACGCTCAGGAATTAAAGGCACAGCAAGCTGCACATGGACATCAAACAGAACCGCTTGTTCAGGACATTCCAACAAGATGGAACTCCACCCTAGAGATGATCAAGCGGATCCAGAGAAACAAATCTGGGCTGACCACCATCCTGACTCAACAAAACAGCAAGGTGACCATGTTGACTGACCAGGAGCTTGACAGACTGCAAAAGCTGGAGGAACTACTGGAACCTTGCAGGTAAATCATTTTGTTTCTCATGATTGTGTGTCTATCTTTGCATTCTACCTTTGTTTTCAAGTATGTTCTCCACCTCTCTGTGTATTTTCATATGTGGTATTTATGTTAGTCTCTGTGTGATTAATAGAAAAATACAGACTTGATCTTTCTATTGCAGATATGTTACCGAACTGCTGGGGGGAGAGCGGTATGTCTCCTATTCCATGGTGTTGCCAGCCTTGTGTCATTTGTTCAGGATTATGGAGCCCTCAGATGATGACCCAGTCTACGATTTGAGGTTTAAGAAGATTTTTACCACAGACCTAGCTCAGCGGAGGGACAGCAGCAATCTCACATGGCTGAAGATCGCTACTGCCCTTGATCCCAGGTTTAAAGACCTTAAATGCCTTTCCAAAGATGAAAGAAGAGAGGTGTGGGCATCAGTACATGACCTTCTGATGTCAGAGACGGATGCACACCAACCATCTGCTCAGACAACAGAGGAACCCTCACCAAAGAAGAGCAAGATGTCCATCTGCTTGCTGGGTTCTTCTGATTCAGATACAGAGGAAGAGGAAGATGCTATAGACTGCTGTCTGAATCTGTACAAAGCAGAGCCCAAAATTGACATAGGAGAGTGTCCACTACAGTGGTGGTTAAAGAGAGAAGGAGCACATGCCAGGCTGGCACCTATTGCACGCAAGTACCTGTCAACCCCTGCAACCACAGTGCCCTGTGAGAGATTATTCTCACTCTCAGGTCACATCATTCAAAAGAAGCGTGCTTCTTTGTCATCAGACAATGTAAACAGAATAGTCTGCCTCAGTAACTGGCTGAGTGCAAAGAAGGACTAAGCCAGATTGCTCCTTTGAAGTGAAAAATGTTCAAAATTCTGGGTTTTCAGCCATGTCTTTTTGTGTTTTAAATACTGAGTTTTGTGCACCCTTTATTGTTATGATATTCACTTTAACCTGTAGGCCTGGGTTC